CGTTTACCTAATCATAACACAAGCTTCCAGGCAGAAGTACGAGCAATAACGGAATGTGTAAATTGGATTAGAATAAATATGGCGCCCACAGGGCTTAATATATTTACCGACAGCCAGAAGGCAATTTGTGCGATATCAGGTGATAGAATTAAATCTAAGACCGTATTGGATTGTAAGAAAGCTTTAACTGAATACTCTCCCAGAGGTAAGGTTCACATCATATGGGTACCAGGCCACTCGGGAGTAATCGGCAACGAAAGGGCGAATGTAATAGCTTTAAAGGGAAGGGAGCTCGATGTAGTTAACCTGACAAACGCAAAACCATTCGACGCAACAAAAGCTGAATTAAAAATATGGATGAGAGAATCCCATAAGGCCTCTTGGAATAATGAAACGGTGGGTAGAACCACAAAGATTCTATGGGGTGACCCTGATGAGAGCAAGACGAGAAATCTTCTCAAAATGAGCAAGTCTGAGGTTAGTATGATGGTACGTATTCTCAGTGGACACACAGGATTACGAGCACATCTATACAAAATTGGACGTGCGAATTCAGACGAATGTAGAGCATGTGGAGAGGACAGTGAAACTCTGGAGCACTTTCTTTGCCATTGTCAGGCATTCGTCGAAGTTAGATCCAAGTATCTTGGAAGTGATGTTATTCCGGAAATAACATTCTTAACCAACACCGATTGGAAGATTCTTAGGAATTACGTCCAGGAAACTGAGTTTCTGAACATTCAGTAAACAATTTTTTTTTTTTTTTTTTTTCTTGAATTGGAGCGCACAACAGGCCCGATAGTGGCCTAGGTGTATTTCTTCGGATTTGATGTAGTATACATCCTCCTATCAACCTAACCTAACCTAAATAGTAACCTATCCGCTATTCTTCTAAGAATCTTTTATGAGCTCTTCTGATCAGTTCTGACTCATTTTTTAAATATTTTTTGAGTCATTTACGAGTCGATTTTCTGGTCATTTTAGAGTAATTTTCGAATAATACTTTAGTAACTTTTTAGTCTTTTCTGAGTAATTTTTATGTCTGTTACAGACAAATACAATAATGCAGAAAACTGTTTTTGATCTTCCGACTGCGCGAAATATAATTACAAATTAAATTTATAAACAATCATATTTCGAACACTTGGATGATCTATTTATGATAACTGTACATTTTGTTATTTTTTTTGTTTAAAATAAATCACATTTTAATTATTAATTGGAACCATTTTTAGAGCTTGCTACTAATTGCTGAAATTATATTTAAATACAAAGCGATTAGTATTTAACTAATTTGTTTTATTATTTTAAACATAATAAGCCAGTAATTTAGGTTAATCATATATGTTCGAATCGTAAGGAATTGTTTCCTTCACAGTGAAATTATTGATTTGGTGTCATATGTTATTTGGTGTGCTGATTTCGTATATGGAAATAAAAAAGTCGTATCACCCACCAATTTTCCACATTTTCATCTTTTAGTCCTTCTGACTGTATACTGAGTCCAAAATATAAAATTCTGTAATTTTACAGAAGTTGCGAATAGTGGCCGTCTAGATTTGTACTCAAAGTTATAGAAATGCATTCTAGAAAAATTTAACGCGATAGGACGACGTTTACTGGTGGCACCACCACGGCTCTGAAGGGGAAAACGATTTTTACAAAAAAACTTTTTGGAAGTTAACACCAAATAATTAACAAATACAAAAATATATAAAACACAAAAATCGTTAAAATTTTTTAAAAGTTATGTATTACAAATTCCTCCGATCATTTAGTGCCACAAAACACTTAAATGAGAAATATTAAAAATTAAATTTTTATGAAAAAAAATCATCACATTACGTTAAATATATTCGTATTAACTTAAATGTCCGGTTTTATCCTCATTAGATAGCGTAAACCGTATTTGGGGTATAATGTAGGTACATATGTATATCGTCACCTGAAACGCAAACGGCCCTAACTAACCAAAAATTCAAAATCGATTTTATAGTTGATTCTAATGTATTGCATCAAAACAAATGTCCACACAAACTGGAATCCTCCGACCAAAATTAGCGATTTTATTGACAAAAAACAAAAGGCCCTATCTACAAAAACATTTAAATATTAAAGGTAAAAAGTCCAATTTATCCATTTTTATATACTCCATTATCAACTGTCATAACAAATGATAGGTTTCACTATTAAACAATTTGTTTTTTTACTACAAATAAATCGTGTTGATAAAAACAAACTTTTCAATTTGAATAGTTTTTTGCTTCTCCTGTAAAATTTTAAAAATGTTAGATAAGGCCGTTTGCGTTTTAGGTTGGCCTGTGCAATTTTAAGTTATTAAAAAATTTTTCATTTATTCAAAAACAAAATAGGTAAACGCTAAAAGGGGAAAAAGCAACAGCAGAAAATACTCAAAAAATACTAAGACATAGGGTTTTATAAATCGACTTTCGAATAATCGAACAATCGACTTATTGTCGAAAAAAGTCGAAGTCGACTATTTTGTTCCAAAAAAGTCGATAACTCGACTATCGTTGTTAATAAAAGTCGAAAAGTCGTAAAAAGTCGATAAGTCGAATAAAGTCGAAAAAAGTCGAAGAAAGTCGAAAAAAGTCGAAAAGTCGGAAAAAGTCGAAAAGTCGGAAAAACTCGAAAATTGTAGAAAAAAGTCAAAAATAGTCGGAAATTTTAAAAAAGTGGAAAAAAGTCAAAAACTCTAAAATAGTCGGAAAAACTCGAAAAAAGTCAAAAAATAGTCGAAAAAAAAATTCGAAAGAAGTCGAAAATAGTCAAAAAGTCAAAAAAAATCGAAAAGTCGGAAATGTCGGAGAGTCGAAAAAAGTCGAAAAGTCGAAAATTTATAAAGTACTTATAGTCGAAAAGTCGTCTTTTAATTAAATGAAAAGAGTCGAAAAATCGTGTATATGATGTATAAACACACACATTCTCTCTTCTTCTTATTTCACTCTCTCCCTATTTTACTCATTCCTCGTCCTCTCTTACTCCCTTCTATCCCACTTTTTCTTTCTTCCTTTCCGAATGCATACCAGACTGGTTACCAGTGGTGAAATATAGACCGATAATCATAAAAATTAGTGTAGCGATTTAAGTTCTTTTAAGTTTTGGCTATATAAAATGTCCAAGCTATATTGACATGTTTAAGGCATTTATGAGCATTATAATAATTTCTGAAGGAGACCTTATACGGGGGCTAGGAACAAATAAAGCTCGATGTCCGCATTTCTTTTGTATACAAAAAAAAAAAAAAAAAAATAACTTGCTCCAAATTTGACAATGAATACTACCTATTCGACATATTTTTTTCTGTATTATCTGTTTTCTGAGGAGCCACTTGAGAAATCGTGAACCTACTCTTACTAAATTATATACGGCAAAACATTTCTGTAAAATTATCTTCAAAATAGAACCTGTACGTATTGAAAAAATTATAAGAAAATGTGCTAAGTTCAGCATTATTTTTAAATTGTTTCACAACTGATATTAAAACAAGTGAGAGTGTTATATTCGGCTGTGCCGAATCTCACCATCAAACCGTATGCCTTAAAAGAAATGCTCCCCTATAAACATCAGGGTGATATTACTCATTAAATTAACTGAAGAGGACCTTATATGAGAAATAGGGTTAATAATTGACCGCTTTTCATAATTTTTTTTACACCAATTTTGGTTCATAGAAAAAATCTCTACATCGAATATCACTTCTCTACATCGAAATACACTGTCCGCATCAAATTCGGTAGGAAGATTTACGTTCCTATAAATGTTTCTTATATAAAATTTCATAACTGTTCACGTATTTTTAAGTCAGCAAAGATCGTTAAAGTAATTTTCTTATGGACCGATTCTCCATACTTTTGGTAGAGAGGTTTTAACTCGTATAAAAAATATGTGTGTCGAATTTCATCGCTTTTCTGTATTCTGTATTTTTAAGCCAGTAATGATCGTTAAAGTAATTTTTTGAAGGGCACCTTATATGGGGAGTAGGATCAATTATGGACCGATCCACATAAAGTTTGATAGATAGATTTTGGCTTCATTGATATACTCGTATTTTTAAGCCAGTGATGGGCGTTAAAGTCATATTCTGAAGGAGACCTTATATGGGGGTAGGGATCAATTATGGACCGATCAACATAAAATTAGGTAGGGAGATTTTGGATCATATGAATCTTATGTGTGTCAATTTTTATCACTGTACTAGTATTTTCTGAAGGGGGCATTATATGGGGGAAGGGTCAATTATGGACCGATCCTCATAAAATTTGGTAGGGAGATTTTGTATCATATGAAACCTATTTATGTCGAATTTCATCGCCATTAAAGCTGTTTTTCGGGGGTCCACTTGTATGGGGAAAAGGAGAAATTTAAGAAAAAAAACTACGATTACAGATTTTAATAATATGAACAACAATAAAAGAGGACTTGTCACGTTTGCGTACATATATACATATATTTTTTTAATTCAAAATTGCTTATTTTTGAAGCTTTCAGAAAATGCAACAGTTGTATTTTAAAAATTTTAAGTGGTGTATTCCTTAACAACTCCTATATCAAATTTTGTACCTATCGAACCAGGCGTTTCGAAATTGCATCCTTTTTTTATAGTTTTTTGAGAAATCACATGAAAAAAGTGAATTTAATGTTGAGATTAACATATTACAATATCGACGGTATGATATATTAATTATGATACAATTTTTAGTTTTTGCAAAAAAAACAACCTTTCAACTAATATTTTTTTCCGAAATTTTGCTAATACAGATGAGAAGAAATACATGTTTGACCCACTGTAACTTTGAGAGTTCTTGGCCAATTTTTTTGGAAAATTTTGTCTAAAGTAAAACCCAATGGGACATATTTGGAAGATATCTTCACTATTATTCCGTTTCATTTTATTTAAATTCATTGTAAATTACAAGTTGTAATCATGATGTGATAATTTATTATTAATTTGTTTTCGTCGTATATTTTTCTTTCAGATCCTATAGTCATAAGTAAATTTGAGGTGGATACACTTAATTCAATAACTCCACTTGAATGGTTGGAATTTGTAAAACGAGGCCGAGAATCCAATGAGCAGGAAAAAAGGTTTGATTTGAAGAATTTTGAATTATTTCTCGTTTACAACTTCATTTCATTTTTAGTTTGGAAGCAAATCTTGTTGCCTCAAATGTTATTGTTAAAAATGGAACAATATCTCATATTCAGCTTTTAGAAACGCTGCCAAGTGTTGACGCTCAACAAGATAGTCAGGTAGCAGATGAAATTTTAAAATCCTGTTTATATATTTATAATACTAAATGCGCTCCTCAAAGTATTTCCGGGGAACATTGCGAAACTATACTGAGTAATATTGATCTCCCGAGAGATAGTGAACTCGCCCACAAATGTCAAAGTATAGTAAATAATCGAAATAATGGAGACTATCCGTTAAGGCGCCTGTTGCCACGTCATTATAAAGACGGTTTCTATAAGGTACAATAACATACATACGTATGTACATATCGCTCAATCACTACCAGACTGGCTTGACTCCAAATCCGTATTTTTTGAACTGAGTAGTAAAAAATATGTGCCGATCTTTTTCATTGTTTTTCTTTGTGAGTGTTGTTGTAAACATCGCAATTCATGAATTTCGCATAAGTAAAATATCTTTAAACATTCAAAGATGTTTTTCTTTGAGTTATGCCAGTCTTGCATTAAGCGATCGATAGGTACATATATACACACATATGTATTTATTTATATTTTTTAAATTAAATAATTTAATTAAGTACTCATTACATTCTTAAAGATGTTCTCGGATACTATGGTTCAACCGCTTGCAATTAGCCATGCACTTGGTGGAAATCCAACAAAAGATAAAAGAGAATTTGTAGATGACTTTCAAAGAAATTTGGCTGTGGTGCAATGGTCACAATTTGTAGCTAATGATTTGAATAAACCTGTGGTCACAACAATGAGTAAGTTGCAATTTATATTCATTCTGTTTATACTGGCATTTTTATTAAATAAATTGAAAATCTGAGAATTAGATTTTAATGATATTGGAAATAAGAAAATTTTAATTAAGTTTATGTAACAGCATCTTATGCAATTTCTTACTTAGTTTTGATGTGTGTATTATCACAATTAATGTTCTATATGATCTTCAGGTAATGGGTCTCCAATTGAATGTTGTAATATGCAAAATTATAAACTTTCACCACGTTATCACCACCCGGCTTGTGAGCCTCTGATAAGTAAAGATAATATAAATCGTTATGGCCCCGATACCTGCTTGAATTACGTACGTAGCGCTTTGGCAATAGGGAACAAATGTACTTTTGCAGCTCCAGAACAGGTGAGTTTTAGTTTTACTATCAGAAGTCATAAAGACAATACAATTTTTCAAATGTTTCTATTAAAAATTAGTTGAATCAAGGTACAGCTAAACTTGATTTATCACAATTATATGGTTTTAACGAAAAGTCTCAAAAACGCATGCGTTTACATCAACAAGGACTTCTTAAATCCACTAGTTTTGGGAAATCAGAAGATGCATTATTGCCAATGGCTGCAGAAGACACTAATTGGTTTTGTGCATTGAGTCCGGATGATCGAGAAAATTCGACTTGCTTTATGTCTGGAGATTCTCGCGTTAATAGTAATCCTTTCGCCATTATAATACATACACTAATGATGCGTAATCATAATCGTATTGCCAAGGATTTGAGTCTTCAACACCCAGATTGGCGAGATGATCAATTATTTAAAAAGGCTAAATCCATTAATATTGATATTTATCAGCGAATAGTTCTTAATGAATGGTTGCCAGTTATTTTGGGCACATCGATGGCCAACGAAATAAACAGGATTAAAAATGAAGCAAACAAATTTCGTAATGTAAATAATGAATTAGTTCATCAAATATCTAATGAGTATGCAGTGGCCGCATCGAGATTCTACCTTTCGATGATGCCGAATGAACTTCGTAATTATGAAATCGATACAAGATCTGAATCCTATAAGGATGAGGGGTTAGTTATGAAAACTTAGTAAAACCACAAGGGATTTCCGTTAATATTTTGTATCAATATTTTATATTTGTAGTGGTAACAACATTGAAACCAATATATTTTCTCTGAAAGATGAAATTTACTCCCCTAGCATTGAGTACACATCCGATAAACTGGATCAAATTTTATATTCACTATTAATGCAGCAGGCTATGAAAATGGATGCCAGTTATGTTGAAAGTGTAAGTTAATATTCTACAAAAATGTACATCGATAAAAAATTATTTTAATTCTTTTCCAAATACATATAAAAAGTTGACTTCTGATTTGGCTAATAATAAACGACCCACACATTCCGATATATTAGCGTTTGATATACAGCGTGGCCGGGATCATGGATTGCAGCCATATTTTAAATATTCAGAAATATGCAATAATGTAAAGATAAACGATTGGAATGATTTACAAAAATTTATAAACCCTGGGGTAAGTAAATATGTACATAAATATTTTGAAAGATAATATAAAAGATTCGTTTGTTTTTCTGACAATGATTCCCCATATTTTCTGTTTTTATACGTTTCACCTTCGTGAGAAGGGTATATACATACATATAAGTTTATCATTCCGTTTGTAATTTCTACAATATAGTTTTCCGACCCTACATACATATATGTATACATATTATATGTTCTGAATCCCTATAGATTGCCATGTCCGTCTGTCTGTCTGTGTGTTGAAATCAATTTTCTGAAGTCCTCAGATATCTTTGGGATCTCAGTATTCAATAATTCTATCTGACATGCTTTCGAGAAGTTCCATATTTATTTAAATAAGTATAATCGGTTCATAAATAACGGAGATATGAGCAAACATCTGAGACAACCTCTGAAAATTTCGTTAAAAAATTAGGAAATGGGAAAGCATTTATGAACGAAATGCAATTTTTTTGGAAAAATTAAAGAAAAAAATCTTAAATTTAACACTATGGTAAAGGGTATATAGGATTCGGCACAGCCGAATGTAGCAATCTTGTTATTTATTTATTTATCCTAAAAAATTCGCTAATATATGTACATATGAATATTTTCTAAAAATATAGAAACAGATTAATAGATAATGCATTTTTATATAATATAAAAAATAACAAACAAGCTATGAATATTCTGAAAGAAAATAGTTTGGGAAAAATATCATGTTCATTCATACTATTTATTATAAAATTCATTCCAGTTATGTATTATTTTTCTCTGTATAGATGTTCATATATGTGGATTTAATAATGTTAATCCGTTATATCCATTTTCGAAGTACATAATATATATTTGAGGCACTTAAATTAACAAAAACCGCAGTAACATGTATTTTATTTTTCAGGATTTAAATAAATTAAAAAACGCCTATTCCAGCTGGCGTGATATTGACTTAATTGTTGGAGGTATTTCTGAAATGTCAGCGAAGAATGCGACAGTGGGACCTACGTTTCAATGCATTATAGGTAAGTATATTTTCAATTCAAATATATGTATATACATTATAGTTTCGGATTGCACATAGCATAGCCCAAACGGAATTTTTCTTTTGAGTTACTATATTTCCTGTTAAAATTTGAAACTCCTGCAAAAATCTAACTCAAATGCTAGAATTTGAGTTTTATGAGGTTCAACCCGGTAAAATATTTTAAAATTTTGGTAATGAGTAATGTTACTTTATACTTTACATGGTAATGAGTGGTCGATTCTTGAAAAAAAAAATATGTAAAAACTATTCCAAATAGCACAATAAAATAACTTGTTTATGGATCACTGAGTAATAGAATTAGAGTTTTTCATTTCCCGGGAAAACGGGATTCATTTAGAAATTTCCCGGGATCCCGGGAATTCCCGCCCAGAAGAAATTTTAAGAATATATCAGCCATTTAAATACGATTTCGTATTATTTTTGAGATATTCATAGCTAGATACAAATGAAAAGGCAATAACAAAGGTTAAAGGGCACGATTTCTAATGTATGTATGTTATGTAAAAGTCTGAAACATTTCTATTGGAATGATTTTTATTCCCTACACTATAGTGAGGATTATATAATTAATTTTTGCCGATATTTGTAATTAATGGAAATATTGTCCCTGCACCCACCGTAAAGTATACCAATAGGCTCTGCCTGCCTGTTCGTCTATATAAACCTCGCAATCAAACTACATCAAATTTGAAGACAATTTGATGAAATTTTGTAAATATTCCTCGTTAACCCAGTGGTTAATATGAATCCATTATTTCAACTACACCCAAATAACCGAAACTACCGATATGGACTTTTTAGCTCATAATTATATCAAATATACTACTATCTAGCAAAAAAACGGCAAATTTCAGAAAATCAGTTTTTCGTCAATAAATTGCATAAAAATAATGTATTAGTAATTTGCTTCCTAATTTTTGAACTTTTTAATAAAATAATAATATTTCAAAAATATCACATAAAACTAAGCAAAATAATTCCTGGGAATTTCCGCTCAATTTCCCGGGAATTCGGGATTGAAAATTCTGCGGAATTCCCGTGAAAAACACTAAAGAGAATAGACTAATAAACACAGAAAATAACTGTAAAAGCGGTTTTAAATTCAGGAAAGTCAAGTAAGCACATTTGTAACCAGTTATTTTTTGGTTATCGTCGAACAGAAATAAGTAGATATTTACACAAAAAGTAAGTACTTACACTTTATTGCAAGATTTCTTACCTACTTAACGTAAGTAAAGATTATTCTGGGAAATAATAAGAGTTTTCATTTCAACTTAAGTTTCCCTTTGTGCAAGTGGACAAGTTTATTCGACTTGTTTCATGAAACCCCTGTTCAAATTCTGTTCAATTACAATATTTGTAAACATTTTAAAACAATGTCTAACGAAATTAAAACATAAAAAATTAATTAAATAAACAAAAAATTATAAAAAATTTGTTTAAATGTGAAAATTCAAGTCCATACATAAAAAGTGATCAATACAGAACGGATTTATTAAATGCACAAAAATCTATTTTTTTCAAAGGGTCCTCAGTTTCCTACCAGCGCACTATGATTTCAAATCAATTTTTTTTTTTGGCAAAAATTAGAAAAAAAGTTAATAATTATAAAAAGTGAATTTTCTTTCTTAATAACACCCCAAGCAATCCAGAAAATATATTTTAAAAAAATAGTTGGCAACACTACCGGTCTGCTAAGCTTTCAAAGTTGAAACCATATAGTAGGTATATAGGCGAAACTGATAAAATTTGTTATTCTCTTCACACAGACGAGTTCTGAGCAGGCCTGTCAGATTTGCCGATATTTTACCTTCAAAATAGTAAAGTGCCGATTTCCCGATTTTTGCTTAAAAAATGCCGATTTTTTACCCAATCGAACAAATTAACGAATTTATTATAACTGTGTACCCTTACAAAGAGTTCTTTTATTAGACCTATTCTGAATAAAAATTCCCTGAGTTATGCATGTATGTAAAAACAATATTGTGATTTTTGAATTTATTTGTGTTATGTTTCTTTGGTACAAAATAGTGTTTCTTTCAATTGTCGATTTATTGCCGATTTTTAATACGTAAGTGCCGATAAATGCCGATTTTTTGGGAAAAAATTATAATAATAAAATAATAATATTTCTACAAATTTATCTGGCAGCCCTGGTTCTGAGAGAATAAAACACACTTGAGAGAACTAAACGCACTCACAAAACTTCAAATTTTCTCCGCGAAATTGCGAGGATATTAGCACTTAACAGTTCATCTTATCTCTTAAACTTAATATTTATTATTTTTTGCCACACTTTTAATGTATTTAAAACCCCGAAAATATTTTAAATTTTACAAACGAAAAAAAATATTTTTTATTCTTTGACATTTCATTTAATTAAAACTGAAAAAAGAAAAGTTGTAAAATTTTGTATCTTTCCATTTCTGCGGAAAAAAACAAAAAGACGTGTTTATAATATGTTTTAAAATTAAATATCTTTTCAAAAAAAATTAATTAACTAATATTTTCATTTACAAGTAGATGAAATAACACACAAAAAATAACGTATCTAAAATACATTTATTATTTAGTACCTTTTGAACAACTGTGTTTATTTTTGTGCTTTTACTAACACACTCTCACCAGTTAGGTCTTTGACAGGGGACTTAGGTCTTTGACAATCCCTTTCGCCTATATGCTACTATATGGTTGAAACTTTAAACACGGGTTCTTAAATAAATGTTAAAACAGTGTTATAATTGTATAATGAACAAACCTTAAAAAATAAAGTTATAAAGTATTTAATAAATGGAAAATTCAGCCCAAGAATAGTAGTTTTATGATATATTTCCGAATTTTATATTTTTGAGTCCTTGCCGTAATTTTTAATATTGTGGTTGTGTAGCTTTTTAGTCTCAATATAACCTATAAGTTCAGTAGATCAAAAGTTGAGTTTGGGCACGAACTTGCGTGGAAGTTTAAATTCCAAATAATTTCTAAAAACCCATTTTATGTAATATTTGAAACAATTAATTACTACATATGTATATACTTACAGGGAAAGTACCTCAACAGAAAATTCAGATTAATTGGAATTTACACACAAGATACAAAAATATAAGATTGGCAGGTCTGAGCTTACCGCTTTTTTAGTTGTGGACATTTGGCTGTCGCTTTATGGAAAATTATAAATGATTGTCATTATGAAACAGTACTATATTGTTAAACTATCTAAAAAGTGGGTAATTATACACTTCGTGAGAAGGGTATATATAAGTTTGTCATTCCGTTTGTAATTTCTGCAATATAGTTTTCCGACCCTATACAGTTTATATTCTGGATCCTTATAGATAGCGGAGTCGATTAAGCCATATCCGTCTGTCTGTCTGTCTGTGTAAAACACGCTCACGTTAAAACTAAGAAATGGAAATCAACCAAATTCACCCAAAATATTTATTATTATCTTAAGCAGTTTGGTATTGAAAATCAGCAAAATCGGTTTACAACGTAAAAAGTTATGAATAAAAATTTCAGACTTCCTCGAAAAAATTACGTTTTTTTCATAATTCTTTTGAAGTTTTCTAAGAAAGATATTTCGATGAATTTTGTCACACATTATTTTTTCAGGGCAGTGATCAATTATGTTCAAAATCTTTACAATCGAGCCAATATTTCCCATAGCCCCCATACAAAGTTGATCGTTAATAGTTTATCGTTAATAACTCCCTCAAATATATCGGTAGCAACACAAAATTTTGTACATGCAAATATAATATGAACAGAAATCATACTATCGACGTAGATCTCAGTCGGTCCACAATTGGTCATAGCTCCCATATAAGGTCCACTTCCGAAAATCACGTAAACGCACATATTTTATTGATGAATAAAGCTATTGTGATAAAATTCGAGTTAAATATGATTTGTGTACATAAAAATCTTTCTACCAAATTTTTTACGGGTCGGACCATTATTGGTCATAGCTCCCATATAAGGCCCACCTATACTTCTGAAAATCACTTAATACCTCATAATTCGTAATTAAATTATTATATCCGGATAAAATTCAAAATGAGTATGTTATGTGTACATATAAATCATTATATTAAAATGTTTTCAAACTGGCCTATTAATATACATTTTTTTCGAACCAATTAAAATTAGTTTGACATATGCATAAATGTTAGTACCCTCAATACGGAAACAAAAAATTTAGCTTGCTGGTGGAGGGTATTTAAGATTCGGCATAGCCGAATATAGCACTCTAACTTGTTTTTAATTATTTTCTCAGATGTATGCTCTAAATTACGGAAATTTTGACATCCATTTCGAAAAGATTGCAGAATTTTTTTTGAACATATTGTACTGAAATCAAGATTTTCAATCTCAGGTAGGAAACTGAGGACCTTTTCAAAAAAAGTTTTTTAATTTTCTTGTATCCATATGTATATATGTCATAATCGATTGATATTTGAGACAAAAAATGTTTCAATGTTTTTTTTTATTTTCATCAGTTAATGTTTGCACAAAATTAAAAAAGAAATCATTTGTGAAAACTCGTTTAATAACCAAGACCTTCAATTTATGTGTACAGGAATATATACACGGAAAATAACAAATTCCGGATAAAGAGAATACTGGTTTATTTATGTTTATATGTACCTGTGTATTTGCGAATAAAATTATGTTTGCGTTTTGCCAATGATTTATAGATGACTTCGATTAAATAAACATTTATTTGCCAACAATATGTTGCAACATTGTAGAGTGCAACATAGCTACATATAATCTAGGATTATTTTGAAATATTTTTGATATCTGATTTGTAATAATATTATAATAACTATTGCCGAAGACCTTATTAGGAATACATATGTACATTAGACCGACTCACAAAAAATGGTACATGAGTTATCCCTCAAAATATTCGCTGTTATGTAATATAATGTTTCCGAAAATATTTTGGGTTCAGTGTTGTCCGTTCGTGAGCTGGAC